ATCTATTCCATGACCGGAATAGGGGGGGATACACGTTACACCACGATTTTGAATCAGAAGAGATATTTCAAGAAATGGCAGATCTATTCACTCTATCAATAACCGAGCCGGATCTGGTGTATCCTAAGGGATTTGCCTTTTGTATGGATTCCTCCGGATTGGATCAAAAACAATTCTTGAATGAGGTATTCAACTCCAGGGATGAATCGAAAAAAAAATCTTTATTGGTTCTACCTCCTCTTTTTTATGAAGAGAATGAATCTTTTTATCGAAGGATCATAAAAAAATGGGTCCGGACCTCTTGCGGGAATGATTTGGAAGATCCAAAGCCAAAAATAGTGGTCTTTGCTAGCAAGAACATAATGGAGGCAGTCAATCAATATAGATTGATCCGCCGAAATCTGATTCAAATCCAATATAGCATCTATGGGTACATAAGAAATGTATTAAATCGATTGATTAAAAAGAATCGATTCGATCGCAACTTCGAATATGGAATTCAAAGATATCAAATAGGAAATGAGACTCTGAATCATAGAACGATAATGAAATACACGATCAACCAACATTTATCAAATTTGAAAAAGAGTCAGAAGAGATGGTTCGATCCTCTTATTTTTTATTTCTCGAATCGAGAGATCCATGAATAGGGATCCTAATGCATATAGATACAAATGGTCCAATGGGAGCAAGAATCTCCAGGAACATTTGGAACATTTCATTTCTGAGCAGAATAGCCATTTTCAAGTAGTGTTCGATCGATTACGTATTAATCAATATTCGATTGATTGTTCTGAGGTTATCGACAAAAAAGATTTGTCTAAGTCACTTTGTTTCTTTTTGTCCAAGTTACTTCTTTTTTTGTCCAAATTTCTTCTCTTTTTGTCTAACTCACTTCCTTTTTTCTTTGTGAGTTTCGGGAGTATCCCCATTCATAGGTCCGAGATCCACATCTATGAATTGAAAGGTCCGAGTGATCCACTCTGTAATCAGTTGTTAGAATCAATAGGTCTTCAAATCGTTCATTTGAAAAAAAGGAAACCCTTCTTATTGGATGACCATGATACTTCCCAAAAATCGAAATTCTTGATCAATGGAGAAACAATATCACCATTTTTGTTCAAGAAGATACCAAAGTGGATGATTGACTCATTCCATACTAGAAAGAATCGAAGGAAATCTTTTGATAACACGGATTCCTATTTCTCAATGATATCCCACGATCAAGACAATTGGCTGAATCCCGTGAAACCATTTCATAGAAGTTCATTGATATCCTCTTTTTATAAAGCAAATCGACTTCGATTCTTGAATAATCGATATCACTTCTTCTATTGTAACAACAAATTACCTTTTTATGTGGATTATGTGGAAAAGGCCTGTATCAATAATTATGATTTTACGTGTGGACAATTCCTCAATATCTTATTCATTCGCAACAACATTTTTTCTTTGTGTGACGGTAAAAAAAAACATGCTTTTTTGGAGAGAGGTACTATTTCACCAATCGAGTCACAGGTATCTAACATATTGATACCTAACGATTTTCCGCAAAGTGATGACGAAGGGTATAACTTGTACAAATATTTCCATTTTCCAATTCGATCCGATCCATTCGTTCGTAGAGCTATTTACTCGATCGCAGACATTTCTGGAACACCTCTAACAGAGGGACAAAGAGTCCATTTTGAAAGAACTTATTGTCAACCTCGTTCAGATATGAATCTACCTGATTCAGAAGGGAAGAACTTGCATCAGTATCTCAATTTCAATTCAAATATGGGTTTGATTCACACTCCATGTTCTGAGAAATATTTAACATCCGAAAAGAGGAAAAAACGGAGTCCTTGTCTAAAAAAATGCCTTGAGAAAGGGCATATGTATAGAACCTTTCAACGAGATAGTGCTTTTTCAACTCTCTCAAAATGGAATCTATTCCTAACATATATACCGTGGTTCCTTACTTCGACAGGGTACAAATATCTAAATTTCATATTTTTAGATACTTTTTCAGACCTATTGCCGATACTAATACTAAGTAGTAGCCAAAGATTTGTATCCATTTTTCATGATATTATGCATGGATCAGATATATCATGGCGAATTCTTCCGATTCCATTGTGGAAGACACAATGGAATCGGATAAGTGAGATTTCGAGTAAGTGTTTACATAATCTTCTTCTGTCCGAGGAAATTCTTCATCGAAATAATGAGTCACCATTGATATCGACACATCTGAGATCGCTAAATGTTCAGGAGTTCCTCTATTTAATCCTTTTCCTTATTCTTGTTGCTGGATATCTCGTTCGTACACACCTTCTCTTTGTTTCTCGAGTCTCTAGTGAGTTACAGACAGAGTTCGAAAAGGTCAAATCTTTGATGATTCCATCATACATGATTGAGTTGCGAAAACTTCTGGATAGGTATCCTACATCTGAACTGAATTCTTTCTGGTTAAGGAATCTCTTTCTAGTTGCTCTGGAACAATTAGGAGATTCTCTAGAAGAAATACGGAGTTCTGCTTCTGGCGGCAACATGCTATGGGGTGGTGGTCCCGCTTATGGGGTCAAATCAAGACGTTCTAAGAAGAAATATTGGAATCTCGTCGATCTCATAAGTATTATACCAAATCCCATCAATCGAATCGTTTTTTCGAGAAATACGAGACATCTAAGTCATACAAGTCAAGCGATTTATTCCTTGATAAGAAAAAAAAACGTGAATGGTGATTGGATTGATGATAAAATAGAATCCTGGGTCTCGAACAGCGATTCGATTGATGATAAAGAAAGAGAATTCTTGGTTCAGTTCTCTACCTTAACGACAGAAAAAAGGATTGATCAAATTCTATTGAGTCTGACTCATAGTGATCATTTATCAAAGAATAACTCTGGTTATCAAATGATTGAACAACCGGGAGCAATTTACTTACGATACTTAGTTGACATTCATAAAAAGTATCTAATGAATTATGAGCTGAATACATCCTGTTTAGCAGAAAGACGTATATTTCTTGCTCATTATCAGACAATCACTTATTCACAAACCCCATGTGGGGTTAATCGTTTTCATTTCCCATCTCATGGGAAACCCTTTTCGCTCCGCTTAGCCCTACCCCCCCCTAGGGGTATTTTAGTGATAGGTTCTATAGGAGTTGGACGATCCTATTTGGTCAAATACCTAGCGACAAACTCCTATGTTCCTTTCATTACAGTATTTCTGAACAAGTTCCTGGATAACAAACCTAAGGGTTTTTTTATTGATGAGAGTGACGATAGTGACCATATTGATAATAGTGACGATATCGACCGTGACCTTGATACGGAGCTGGAGCTTCTAACTATGATGAATGTGCTACCTATGGATATGATGCCGGAAATAGACCGATTTTATCTCACCCTTCAATTCGAATTAGCAAAAGCAATGTCTCCTTGCATAATATGGATTCCGAACATTCATGATCTGGATATGAATGAGTCGAATTACTTATCCTTCGGTCTATTAGTGAACTATCTCTCCAGGGATTGTGAAAGATGTTCCACTAGAAATATTCTTGTTATTGCTTCGACTCATATTCCCGAAAAAGTAGATCCCGCTCTAATAGCTCCGAATAAATTAAATACATGTATTAAGATACGAAGGCTTCTTATTCCACAACAACGAAAGCACTTTTTCACTCTTTCATATACTCGGGGATTTCACTTGGAAACGAAAATGTTCCATACTAATGGATTCGGGTCCATAACTATGGGTTTCAATGTACGAGATCTTGTAGCACTTACCAATGAGGCCCTATCGATTAGTATTATACAAAAGAAATCTATTATAGACACTAATCTAATTAGATCTGCTCTTCATAGACAAACTTGGGATTTGCGATCTCAGGTAAGATCGGTTCAGGATCATGGGATCCTTTTCTATCAGATAGGAAGGGCTGTTTCACAAAATGTACTTCTAAGTAATTGCTCTATAGATCCTATATCTATTTATATGAAGAAGAAATCCTGTAACGGGGGGGATTCTTATTTGTACAAGTGGTACTTCGAACTTGGAACGAGCATGAATAAATTAACGATACTTCTTTATCTTTTGAGTTGTTCTGCCGGATCGGTCGCTCAAGACCTTTGGTCTCTACCCCGACCTGATGAAAAAAATGGGATCATTTCTTATGGGCTCATTGAGAATGATTTTGATCTAGTTCATGGCCTATTAGAAGTAGAGGGCGCTCTGGTGGGATCCTTACGGACAGAAAAAGATTGCAGTCAATTTGCTAATGATCGAGTGACATTGCTTCTTCGGCTCGAACCAAGGAATCCCTTAAATACGATTCAAAATGGATCTTGTTCTATCGTTGATCAAAGATTTCTCTATGAAAAATATGAATCGGAGTTTGAAGAAGGGGAAGGAGTCCTCGACCCCCAACAGATAGAGGAGGATTTATTCAATCACATAGTTTGGGCTCCTAGAATATGGCGCCCTTGGGGCTTTCTATTTGATTGTATCGAAAGGCCCAATGAATTGGGATTTCCCTATTGGGCCGGGTCATTTCGGGGCAAGCAGATCATTTATGATGAAGAGGATGAGCTTCAAGAGAATGATTCGGAGTTCTTGCAGGGTGGAACCGTGCAGTACCAGACACGAGATAGATCTTCCAAAGAACAAGGCTTTTTTGGAATAAGTCAATTCATTTGGGAACCCTCGGATCCACTCTTTTTCCTATTCAAAGATCAGCCTTTTGTCTCTGTGTTTTCACATCGAGAATTCTTTGCAGATGAAGAGATGTCAAGGGGGCTTCTGACTTCCCAAACAGAGCTTTCTACATCTATATATAAATGCTGGTTTATCAAGAATACGCAAGAAAAGCATTTCGAATTGTTGATTCATCGCCAGAGATGGCTTAGAACCAATAGTTCATTATCTAATGGATTTTTCCTTTCTAATACTCTATCCGAGAGTTATCAATATTTATCAAATCTGTTCCTATCTAACGGAACGCTATT